GGGTGGATGGATCCCGTAATAGACGTGTTCTCTGATGGCAGCCATGCTGAACGCTGTCCTAGGAGGGGCCCTATAGGAGAGTGGGGCCCCGCAGAGCCCTCAGCTGTCCTGAGAAAGTAGATGAGCGGTATCAGACCCCGCATAGCCCTCAGCTGTCCTGAGGAAGTAGATGAGCGGTATCAGACCCCGCAGAGCCCTTAGCTGTCCTGTGGAAGTAGATGAGCGGTATCAGACCCCGCATAGCCCTCAGCTGTCCTGAGGAAGTAGATGAGCGGTATCAGACCCCGCATAGCCCTCAGCTGTCCTGAGGAAGTAGATGAGCGGTATCAGACCCCACAGAGCCCTCAGCTGTCCTGTGGAAGTAGATGAGCGTTATCAGACCCCGCAGAGCCCTCAGCTGTCCTGAGGAAGTAGATGAGCGGTATCAGACCCCGCAGAGCCCTCAGCTGTCCTGTGGAAGTAGATGAGCGGTATCAGACTCCGCATAGCCCTCAGCTGTCCTGAGGAAGTAGATGAGCGGTATCAGACCCCGCAGAGCCCTTAGCTGTCCTGAGGAAGTAGATGAGCGGTATCAGACCCCGCAGAGCCCTCAGCTGTCCTGTGGAAGTAGATGAGCGGTATCAGACCCCGCAGAGCCCTCAGCTGTCCTGTGGAAGTAGATGAGCGGTATCAGACCCCGCATAGCCCTCAGCTGTCCTGAGGAAGTAGATGAGCGGTATCAGACCCCGCAGAGCCCTCAGCTGTCCTGTGGAAGTAGATGGGCTGCAGATTATAAATCACTGAACTCTCTTTTCTGTTTGTTCTCCTGCAGCCCGAGAAGAGAACGTGGCCACCTTCCGTGGCTCGGAGTACCTGTGCTACGACCTGTCGCAGAACCCCATCCAGAGCAGCAGCGACGAGATCACTCTGTCCTTCAAAACCCGCCAGAGGAACGGCCTCATCCTGCACACGGGCAAGTCCGCCGACTACGTCAACCTGGCGCTGAAGGGCGGAGCCGTGTCCCTGGTCATCAACCTGGGCTCCGGCGCCTTCGAGGCCATCGTGGAGCCGGCCAATGACAAGTTCAATGACAACGAGTGGCATGAAGTCAAGGTGACTCGGAACCTACGCCAGGTAAGGGGGGCGGGGATGGCGCGCCTCCTTCAGAGGGGCACACACTGCTAGATGAGGTGAGGGATGGCGAGGAAAGATCGGGAATTAGAGGGACTCCAGGTTATCACACGTCACATATATGAGACAACATAAGTCATACGTGACACATATACCGTGACGGTCCCGTCAGACAAATATATGTCATTATATCAGACACACAAGTCATACGTGACACATGTACCGTGACGTTCCCGTCAGACAAATACATGTCATTATATCAGACAACAAGCGCGCAACCGCAAACATCTGCAGTCACGTGACCGAGGCGGTCTGGTTGTTGGGAATAGACAAGATTTGTGTACTGTCCCTTTAAGATGCGATCCGGACCCATACACAGTGTAGCGAGGCCGGCGCGGCGCAGAGTTCAGGGACACGCACACACACACACGTATACACGGGGATGTTATCAGTCGCTCCCTCTCCTGCTCTGCGTCAGCTTTACACGCGTCGTAGAATCCCGTCCGCGGCATTATCCACGCGTCCCGGGAGACGGCGCAGATAACATTCACACAGAGACTTCGGAGACGGCGGCCGAGAGATTCACACGCCGGGCGCCCCCCCC